GGCTATTACTTTTTATAACTTCACAGAGGGTAGAGAACCAACGTAAACACAGGCTTTTTACCAGCTTTCCATTTGTCAAAAGTAGAGGCACCTATGAATTAGATAAATTTAGAAGATCCATTCATTTGCTCAATAATTATTTGAAGTCATCTTAATACGAGGTGCAGATTTAGAAAGATTTAGAGTAAATTAATGATAAAAAGTTTTAACTATTCTGAGCTTTAAGGAGTTCCTTGTTTGGTAGAGGCAGAAGACCAGTAAATCAAATAAATACTTAACAAATTACGTGGAAACTGCTGTGAACACATGGGGAGAGTGAAAAATTCTGTCTGAAGGCAAATCCAAAATAAGACTCGAATTACATTTTGACTGAATAGGAGTTCATCACAAGAATGGGTAAGGGGTACATAAGGGGTATAGCAGGTCAGGAAGACACGCAGTGTGTGCAAAGACTTACGAGTTCAGAGAACTGCAAATAGTTCTGCCCATAAACTAGAGATGTGAACCTAGGGAAAGAGAATCCATGTCAGGACAGGCCTTGCATGGATGTCACTGAGTCTGATATTTACTCTGTATGTGATGGGGAACCACACAGAATTTTAAACAAGAGGCTCACATAATCAAATCTGTCTCATGGAAAACATTTTTTTGGTAGTTGTGTAGGAGACAACAAAAGTAAGAAAAGGGAACAGAGACAGACAGACAAGTGAACTAATCCTTTGGGATAAAGATGCTAAGTGGCTGACTAAAATCATAGAGAAGGCCAAGGGAGTAAGATATGAAGGTATTAAGGAGAGGGAAGAGACACAACTTGGTGGCTAACTGGGTATAAAGTGTGCAAGAAATATTAATCATGACTCCTGGGTTTCAAGCTCACACTTCTACTTGACGATACTACCATCTGTGGGAACAGGGAAGAAAATGGTAAACTACTATCAGAGAAGAGGAGTTGGTTTTTAAACATGCTGGGGTTAAGGCCTCTCTACCAAAAATGCAGGCCACAGTCTGTAGGATCGTTAAGAAATGCAGAATCTCAGGATGCAAACCATATTTACAGAGTAACACTCTGCATTTTAACAAGATCCCAGGTGATCGAGGTGACACATATGTACACTGCTTTAAGATACTATGAGCCACGCAAGGGGAAATGCCGATTTGCAGTCAGAAATGTGATACCTAACAAAAGAAAGGTTTGATTTAAAAATACAGATTGAGTCATCAGGTAAACACTGCTGCTGTAACTAAGGGAGCAGGATATCATTCAAGACAGTAAGAAAAAAAGAAAACATGAACACAGACCCGAACACTAACGTTGCAAGTGTGTGTGGTAGACGAGACGCCAGGAAAGGAGAATGGGAAGACTTGATAGCGCAAATGAAGAGGAGAGTTTCAAATGCTACAGAGTCAAGTAAGAGGTCATAGCCAGGAGGAAAAATGGCAGAAAGAGAAGCCAGCCTGTCACAGACTGAGGAATGGCTGGCTGGGAGCAAATAAAATTTTGCATACCATGAGGAGTCAGGCTGCAGCTATAACTGATGTGCTGATTTGAACTGTTTTTTTTTTTTTTAAAGATGGCCAATAAATGAGTATGTAAATACCTGTTGGTTAGTAACTGAAACTTATTAATGAAAGAGAGAGTATAAGATAGAACCACGATACCCACCATTTAATATTCTCAGTACTGGAATAGTGCTTGACATATAACAAGCACTCAATAAATATTCACAGAATTAGTGAACGACTTACTCTGTATGTTGGTGCTGGACACACATTAAGTGATTTACATGTTACCTCACTTAATTCTCAAAACAGTCCTGTAAGATAGGTATTAGCCAATTTTATACCATCTATTAACCCATTTTATAAATGAGAAAAATTGATGAAGACAGTACCAATGACTCAGTATTCCTTCCAGCAAAACTCCAAGGTCGCATCATAATCCTCGGCACCACTACCCAGTCAGCCACAGTTGGTCTGAAGTGAAAAGCTATTTGCTATCTCAGTTCTACATTATTTTAAAATTCCTGTGTCTGAAGGTTTACCATTCTAATACAGAGGCTGGCAAACTACGGTCTGTAGGCCATACCTGGCCTGCCTCCTTTTGTATACAAAATTTTGAACACAGCCAGACATATTCATTTAAATATTTTCTATGGACGCTTCCATACCACAAAAGCAAAGGTCAACAGTTGCAATGGAGACCTTGTTGCCTATAAAGATGAACATTTTTACTATCTGAACTTTTACAGAAAAAGTTTGCCAAGATCTACAAAACTAGGAAAAATTCACATTTTTTGAGACAGACAGACAGACTACAGACATATCCTTAACATGGTAAGACTCATGCTTGAGAAAGAAAGCATACTTACTTAACATCATCACTTTTGATGTCATCATAAATGATAAAAAAAAAAACCACTAGGTCCAATTATGAGGAATTATTACATATATTGCCTTCCCTACTTAAACAACCAGAACATGGAAAATGATCTGGGAATTTCCCTCCCTCCTCTACAAAGTTATTTAATTTGGACAACACATTTCAAATTTTAATCCTTCTCTCTTCTGGAATAATTTAACATTATTTTTTTCTCTGTTTTATGACATGGCTAATTTAAATTAAGTGAACTTAAAAAATATTAGCTCCTCATGGGCTCAGATATTGGTATTATACATAATTATATTAAATATGGTTATGGATTATAGAAGTAATCATTTTAATTTAAATAAGCTTGTGCTAATTAAATATTTACACACAGAATTAAAATCCAATTGTTTTCAGAAGGAAAAGATCGTATGACTCAATGTACCCACAGGTTTAATAATTTAACTATACATAAGAAATATGTATAAAAAATTAAGTTGCACTCCAAGGATGAATAATCTACAATTCAATCTTTTAAAGACTCAACTAGCAACTGTAGCAATGATTATAATGGACGTAGTAAACTTGATATCACCAACAGAACAGCTAATTGCAAGCTACTCTTGACCTCATGAAAATCTGAGTCACAAAAGATTATTAAGTCAGTAAATATGAATAATCAATATATTTAAAAAGGATATGTAAAAACTTTTTAGGAGTTAGAATGCTCACACTGACAACTTTTATTAAAAAAGCCAAAACAACTCTGGTACACTTCTGAGTTGAAGTGTCTGAGGCAAGATAAATCACAGAGTAAGGAATTTTCTCCCTAAGCAGAAGAAGTTAATGTTATATTCTGTGTTACATCAGAATATGCACTTATGCTAACAAACAATGTATTTAATTAGACATGCATCTGCTTTAGGTCTCATATACAGTGTCCCCAAGTTTAACTATTCAATTTTGTTTCTATGCCAAAAATGAGCAATATTTTATTATAAACAATTCCTGGTTAGCAATAAAGGGCATGTACTAATATAGGCAATTTTATAAAATACTAAACCCAAGAAATTCTCTTGCCATTAAGTAAACAAGGCAAGCAATCATGGGAAAGGCAGCAGAAACAAAAACAGAATGAGGTATATAAATAGAACACTTATGTATTTCAGTTAAAAAATACCCCAAACCCAACTTCATTATGTTTAGACAAAGTTCCATTTCATAAAACTGATTTTCAAGTGATGTGCAAAGACAGAATGGAAAAGCTTTAGTCCAAGTCTTTTTGAAGATACAAAGCTCCGTTACTGTTTGATGTCAACCAAAAGAATACACTTTCACAATTACCTTTTCACATATTTATCTTTAATTCCTGTGAAGATACACATGTATGACTTCCTCTCTTCTGCACCTCAAGTTCTACGGCAATTAGTTCTCTTCTTGATTTGTCTACTCTCACTTAATGCAACTGTTCCTTAGGGGTTTTATATAAATCAATTTACATTTAAAATATACTAGATGATATATTATTTAGAAATATTATATTTCCATCTAGTAAAAGACAGTTTTTCATAAAATTCATACTTGGTTAAAAAACAAAAAGCTCTCCTTTTAAGAAAATAACCATTTCATCATGTGTTGTATTTAAATCTAAATTTCGTATTTTACGATTGCTTAAAGTAACCTAATATTCAACAATTCCTATCAAACTCCACCTCTACAAAAACATGCAGAGAGAATTCATATACTACTGAGAAAATATAACCTTACAGGTTCTTATTCTTGGGAATATTTAATGAAAATTATTCTTATGAATTGCTGACTTTAAATTATTAACTGGAATTTTACTAGAGTTAATTTTATGTACCTTGGACTTGAGGGAACCTCCCCAATTTTCATCCACAGACTTCAAGAATAGCTCCTGCATACAGCTGCAAAAGGAAAAACAGGAGTTAAAAAAACTGTATAAATTTAAAAAATACACAGGTATAAATATAAAATTTTATAGCATAAATGTTAAAATTAAGCAGATATACAGATCAAACAAATATCAGAAGAGAAAATGGAGATCTTACATATTAAATAGCAGAGGAGTTCAAGCCCTACTTTGAGTATTCTTAAACTTAGCCAAAAAGATGGAAGGAGATATGGAGACTTGACAATGAACCTGAATAGGTAACTTGTCCTAGGAATTTACTCACAAAGAAGGACTTCCTACGGTTTTTTTAGGATGCTAAGTTGAACACATGTATATATCCATCTATTCAACATAAATACTTAATGAGAATTCTTTTTGGTTGGTTTTAAAATTGAGTGATCGATGTTTTAAAATTAAACAAAACTCAATACCTTTAAAAAAGTAGAGTTTAAGTACTACGTAAAGATATTATAGACAAGCCAGTAAAATCTCATTATAAAGAACCTGAATGCAAATATTTCCCTTAATGAAATTCAGCTGAAATGGATTCAATGGTAAATACTGCTTTTCTAGCTATAGAACCTGTGTATTCTCTTTATACTAAAAGCTCATTATAAAAAACTCAGATGCAAATATTTTACTGCAATGGATTCAGCTGAAATGGATTCAACAGTAAACATCACTTTTTTTGTAGCTGTAGAGCCCTGCCCATTCTGGTATTGACTTGGGAATGCCTTGAGTCCAAGAGAAGGCAGGCAATTATAAGAACATACTATATCCATTTTATTTCTTCTTAGCTTTTAGGCTTTTTTTTTTTAAATTGTAGGTCCAAGAGTTAAAGATGGATTTTATTTTCCAAGTTCTAAAATAGCACAAAAATCACATGCACTACGCATGTTTACTTTAGATAATACAGAAAAGCACAAAATAGAAATTTAACAATCACTTTAATTCCAACTCCCCTGAAATAATGACTTTTCAATAATTTGGTGATTCTGGGCTAGCTCAGTAACAGTTCTTAAGTTTTAAGGGGCTCAAAGATACTGAGAATCTTATGGAATTTGCCTTACTCCAGGCTGTTCATGGATTCTTTGAAATCACTGATGGATTTCAGATCAAGAACTCTGATGATCTTTAAGATTACTGAATATGATTTGGCTAGTCTTGATTAGACAGCCCCTCCCCTTCCCAAGTCTTTAATTAAAAAATATAAGACCATGTTACCAATAAGGTCATAAAAAGATGTTCAGCATCACTAATCATTAGGGAAATGCAAATCAAAATCACAATGAGATACTACTTTACACTCTTGAGAAGCTATTATTTCAGAAAACCAGAAAACAACAAGTGGTTGGCTGGAATGTGGAGAAAATGCACTCAGTGTGCACTGCTGTTGGGAATGTAAAGCAGTGCAGCCACTATGGAAAACAGAATGGTGGTTCTTTAAAAAATTAAAAATAGAATTATATGATCCAGCAATTCCACTTCTAGGTATATATCCAAAAGAACTGAAAGCAGGGACTCAAACAGATATTTGTATACCAACTATTATTCACAATAGTCAATAGCTGGAAGAAATCCAAACGTCTATGAACAGATGGATGGCTAAGCAAAACGTGGTATATACATGCCATGGAATACTACTACTCAACCTTAAAAAAGGAAGTAAATTATTACACGCTATAACAAGGAATAACCTTGACAACATTATACTAAGTGAAATAAGGAAGCCACAAAAGGATAAATACTGTATGATTCTACTTATATGAAGTACTCAGAGTAGTCAGATTCAGAGACAGAAAGTAGAATGGTGGTTGTCAGGGGCTAAGGGAGGCAGGAATAGAAGTTATTGTTTAATAAACACAGTGTTTCAGTTCGGGAAGATGGAAACGTTCTGGAGACAGAAGGTGATGGAGGTTGCATGACCGTGTGAATGTACTTAATGTCACTGAACTGTACACTTAAAAATGGTTAAAATGGTGAATTTTATGTTCTGTATATTTTACCAGAATTAAGAAAATAAAAAAACTGTAAAGCCATATTAAAATTTCGTTACTAGGTTTATCTTTTATTTATAAGTTGATGATCCCCTGGGAGTTCTCAGTGGAGACCCCATTACTTTATGTAATGGTATTTCTCTACATCACTGTTTCTCAATATTCTTCATTATCATGACATGTTGAAAATAATAATTGTTTGGAGTACTAGGGTAAGAGGAGGAGGCGGCTAATAACTAGAGATGACTAGCCTGGGAGCCCCTGCTCATCCCAGCCCCATCTGGTTGTTCCAAGGATTGATGGTCTCAGTATCCTAGCACACTTGTAACCCATTCATGGAAAGGCCTTCTCTGCACCACAAAACATGGACTCATTAATTAAAGATACTAGGAACATACTCTTTAATGAACAGGCAGCTTAGATGTGAGCTTTGCAAGGAAAACTTGTTTATCTCCTTCTCTCACTAGGAGACTCCTACTAGGAGTTACTCTCCTAGTAAACTTACACAGAATTCTGCCCTCGTCATAATGTACTATAAATATTCCATAACTTGACTGTGGACAGGAAATGTCTTATTTAATCACAATTCTCCTCAGAAATGGACACAAAGCCGTTCAATATGTGTGTGCTGAATGGACAGAATTATTCACTTAACAGAATTAAATGACTCTTTTTTTCATCATGTAATTTTAAAGCATTTCAAGCTCCTTTGACATATTTTGCAGATTATGCTTAGTTCCAGTCTAGGGAAACCAAAATGTAACTCAAAGCTGCTTAACATTATTAAAATTCAATTCTAAAAGCATTAATTTGTGATGCTAGTTTGGCCTTTTTTACTAATGAATTTATAGTGTTCATAGGAAAACATTTGTTTTTCATGGTGAATAAATAAACTAACTACAAGTTGCGGTAAATTTTCAATTACTTGTAATCATAAGCATCTCTGGCAACACACAAATTCACACAAGGAAATATACGCTACTTAGAATTCCTCAAGGGCATAAAGTATGAAAGGATTAAAAAAGGTTAAAACTTGAAATTTCCTTGAATTTCACCTTTAGCACTTTTACTTCCTAAAGTAACATCACTGGCATACAAAAACACTGACCTTCAAACATTTGTGGAAAAATACCAACAGAAGAGAAATCAAAGAACAAGTTACATCACTTTTACACAGCAAGCTTAGAGAGCAAGCCGGCAGGCTTCTTTCCTGTACGCACTAGAGAAGCCTTATTTGTACAATCTAACTCCCGGCAGTATTCCATTAGGGTCATATTATACTGGCCCAAATAATTTAAACGGAAATATATGAACGCCTTTAGAAAAATATGAGAATGATACACAAAACTGCATTTTCCCCTTCGGAATCCACACCTATTTCCATATTACTTATTATTGCCAGGTTTTCCTAAACTTCAGATAGGGTCCTCTGGGTGGGAATCAGAAATATCTAACGGCTTCAGCTCTAGAACCAAGTTACCTTATTTGTAGCAGGATTTTTTAATATGCTAATTTCCCTCTCATTTAAAAATAATATTTTTAAATTCAATTTCAGCTTTGTGGGTGGCTAACTTTTTCACAATTTAAATAAGTATATTTTAAGCATTTCCAAGATTATTTGCACCTATCTCAATTTTAGATTCTGTACATTTCACATATTTTCCTAATAATTTGGGACAATGTCCTCCCTTTATCGCAGAAGGATTTCCCTGGTAATTTATTGTTGGAATATGATTTTTTCCCACTGGACCAACCTGTTGTTATAAAATTTTAATAAGGGTTTATAATAAGGTTTTCCCATATAGAAAAAGGCCAAAATATTTATTTTGTAGTGATAATGTTGCTATAATTAAAGTCTAATTATGTGCCATAAAATGGTTCAGATTTAACAGATGCTGTTTTTCACCAGGTAGCTGGATTCCTAGATAGTTTAACTTATAAAATCAAAGGCAACACATGTGAGTTATGTAAATTTTCTGAAGACTCTTTAAAAGGTGTTGCATTCTTTTTAATTATTATTTTTTGGGGGGAGGAGGCAATTAGGTTTGTTTCTGTATGTATGTATGCATGCATGTATTTATTTATTTCTTAATACAGGTACTGGGAATTGAACCCAGGACCCTGTGCACGCTAAGCACAGTGCTCTACCACTGAGCTACACCTTCCCTGCAAAGTGTTGCATTTGTTAACTTTTACTGCTACCATCATTCCACCACCATCACAGCAAATCTGTAAACCTAGTCCAAGTCAGAAATATTCTACTACTTTCCAACATAAGCACTTAATATATTTTTGTTGGTGATGAAATCTATGGCTCTAAAGAAACTTGACTATAACCAAAACCTTGAAATAAACTATTTAACCTGAGTCAAAACCTAAAGACAGCCAATCACAAACAACCAACTAGGCTTTCCGAAGAAAGGCAACCAATTAATTTACAGCCAGTCAAAAAATTTCCTTGCTTTGCTCTGCATCTTTTCTGTAAGTTTTGCCCCTAACTCCTGTAGGTGGGGCATTCTAATCAACCTCCAGTTTGGTACTGCTCAATTGGAATCGATTTTTGCACAACCTATTAAAAGTTTTAATATGCTTCAGTTTATCTTTTAAGAGTATAGTGAAAAAAGCTCAAGTTATAAAATCAAATGTGTATATGGTCCAATTGTGGTTCTGCCACTTACAAGCAGCATGTCCCCTTGGATAAGTCATTCTCTTCAAGCTTCAGTTTATAGTTTAAACAAGAGATATTCCCTGCCTTCCAGAATTAATAAAAGGAGTTAAAAAAAAAACCCAAACATGCAAAAAGCCTGGATTCTTCAGATGCTCAATAACAACAGCGAATATTACAGTATTTTCTTTCACACTATTGGTTATGGTTATGTAAGCTGTGTACTTGAAACCTACTTTCACAGAGCTTTCTGTTCAGGGGCTATTCAGGGCTATTGTTCACTGTTCCCCTATAATTAGAATGGCCACTTCAAAATTTCTCAAGCTTTCAAATTCAAATTACCTTAGAGCA